AGAAAAATAATGTTCTGCATTTTAAATTGTTACTCTGTTTCATCCCAATAGGCCCTGAGGGGTTTATCTTGAAGTGTTCAAATTACCAGGTGATGCATATTTTTTTTTCTTCCAAATGGTGTATTTCAAACATTTTAAAGAGCTTTTTTTTTTGGCAAAATATAAGAAAGAAAACCTAGTCTAATCATGTAAATTATTTTTTAGGTAGTATGAAAAACATTTTTTGAAGTAACTTTACCTAGCTTAATTGACTAATTATGTATAAAATAAGGCAATGTTAGGCACCTTATAATTTTATAGATAAAAGGTTTTTTTTTTTTTTTGCTGAAATAATTGGGGAGCATCTACAGTATTGGATGTACCCCAAAGATGTGTTGTGTTGGGTGCTTTCTGGTAGGAAATGAGATGCCTACCTCTCCTTAAAGTATAAAACGGTACTTCTCCTTACCTGTTGGATTTGAAGTAGGTATCCATCATCTCTAAGTTGAACTAGAGTTGGGGAGGAGACAGAAAAATACCTTTCATTATTGGTGACTTCTCTCATTCCCTGTTTCCTTGGATTCCCAGTTCCCTGTGAATCTGTCAGCTCTGTTTTCTTTTTTCAGGGGGATGAATGAGGGTGCGTGAGCAGACAGAACTTCAAGCAAGGGCTATTCCTTCAGGGAGAGGGGGAATGAGGCAGCTGAAGAGAGTGGGCATGATGGCAAGAGGTAGGCAGGGACCTGGAGGTGTAGAAGACTTCCCAACAGCTGATATTTGTGGCATTACAGAGAAGATGGACCCTTACATCATAAAATTCACAGACGCTCAGAGCTTGCTCCTTAATACCGCCTTTCCAAGCCTGTTGAAATTGGTGTGTTCGTCAAAGCATCTGTCACTTCTTGGCAAACTAGATGTTCTATTATTCTTAAATAAGGAAACCATTACATTTGAAATCACATTATTTCAAAATCTGGCTTTCCTGGCCTTGCACTTTAATGGGATTTTTACTGCACACATGAAGTGGCCTTGGCAAAAGAATACATACTTTAAAAAACGTTTAGGGAAAGCTACTGCACATAAGAATCTGGGAGGCTAATGATGACTTTTTGTGTGTGCTTTCAGATTTCAAATGGCAAAAGAGTATAGTAGAACCTCGTTAAGTTGATAGTGCTTTATTAAAAAGAGCACAAAATTTGAAGCTGTTGCTATATCCAAGCTAACTAGAGTCACTATTGTTCATTAAGAAGAAAATGGCATCAAAGCAGAATGCTCTTAATTCAAAGGTCCTCTTTTCCAATCTTCTATTTTAAAAAGGTCTTCCTTTGCCTTTGAAAAATCCAATTTGCCAAAAGAATGGGCAATAATTAAAATAGAGAAGAGAGAAATTTTAAA